CATGGAAGACTGGATGGATTTTCCACCAGGCTGGTGTGTTCAGCTGGTATGTGAATTTCCCGATGCGCCTTTCAATGGAAAAGGCTCCGATGTATTTTTGCAATAGGCGAGGATCTTGGGTCCTCTTTTCAAACAAGTTCCGCCTCGGAACTTTGTCCCCTGCTTGATGTTGGGCAAAGCGAAGGTTTTGTTCAGCATACCTCGTTGCCCTCTCTTGGGCTTTGACAAGATAGCTCTGCACTATCTTCAAAGTTTGCTCCCATTCTGTCGAGAAACTGGCAGCTCGAGGAGATGTTGGCATGATTGGTGCATTCACCGTCTGTGGGAGTAGCGGTTGTTGTCAGGTAATAATTTCAAAAGCGCTTTTGTTTGTATGGGCGCACTTTTGTGAATTGAAACACAGCTGAGCAGCATCCAGAAGCTTCACCCAATGTGTTTGTGATCCGGTTGCAAATTGGCGAAGATATTCCTCCAACATGTTATTGAACCGGTCTGGCTGGCCATCTGCTTGTTGATGGAAGTTTGAGTTATGACTCAATTTGGATCCGAGGCAACTGAAGAGATGGGTCCAAAATTTGCTAGTGAAGCATGGGTCGCAGTCACTAATGATATCTTTGGGCATACCCCAATATTTGACAATATGAGAGAAGTAGAGTCGAGTTGTATCTTCTGCTGATATGTTATGTGAGGCTGCTATGAAGGTAGCATACTTGGAAAATCGGTCTACTACCACCATGATGGTTGCAAGATTTCCGACCTTGGATAATCTTGTGATGAAATTCAGGGAAATGCTTTCCCAAGGTCTTTGTGGGACTGGTAGCGGCTCCAAGAGTCCCGCTTCTGCTGAGTGATCCAACTTGTCCTTTGGCATGCTTGATGAGTCTTCACACACTGAGGGGCGCCATGAGTTGTTGGACGCCGATGATCTGATGTTTGATTGATGATGTTGAGGGCAGCCGGAACCGTAGGTTCAAGTCTGTTGGTTCCCTTCTTTGACTGCATGGCCGAGATGTTTCCAGCGGACATCTTTATGGGTATGCACGGTATGGTGCGGGGTTTGGCCCCGTTGTCTCCCATCATTAGGAGCATGTTGGCATATGGTACCGGTATAGTGTTGGTCTGCCTGAGGAATTCCAATCCCACTATCAGTTCGAAGTCATCGATGATAGCTATGCGCAGGTCGAATATTCCCTTGTATGGGCCGAGCTTCATTGGCACTTCTTTGGCTATTCCACTCACTGGCTGAGATGGAGAGTTGATAGCCTTGACACGACCCTTGCATTTTTGCACTGCTAGACCGAGGCGTTGCACCTGAGTTGAGGCCAGGTAGTTGTGGCTAGCACCCGTGTCTATCAATGCCCGAATAGGTCTGCCGTTTACTTTCATGTCAACGAACATTAAGATCCTCTTTTGTGTTGTGGGAGGCCTCTCATCCTCCTTTCCTTTCCCTTTTTTGACGATTGGGCATGCGTTCTTCTTGGGGTTACCAGTGCTAGTTCCCGCCAAGGTATCATGAATGGAGCCAACAAATGCGTTGAAGGCACCTACTTGTTCGGGGCCGTCTGAGTCGTCGGTATCTGACTCATTTTCAGCAGTCTGTTGAGCATTGATATGTGTATTGGGACATTGATTGTTCCAATTTCCCTACCGCAATGACGACATTCTGAAGGGGGCTTTCTCCCCTGATTGTTGTTGACTGATGCAGCATTGTTACTGCTTGAGGAAAGAGTCTTGGATTTGGATGCACCTCGATCTCCTCCGTTTCTGTTAGGACCACCATTGCTAGGTCGGCTCCCGTTGTATCCCCCTCGGACAGGCAGCTGGGGCCTATCCTTCTGAGTTTCCAACTCATAATCCCCAAGGCACTCTGCAGCTTGAATGGCCTTGGGCAGAATATCTACCCGTTGTCTTTGCATCTCCATACGAGCATGAGGTTTCAATCCTTCTATGAATGCGAACAGTTTGTCTTTGTCCCCCATATCTCGTATGTTTAGCATAAGTGCGGAGAATTCTCGCACGTAGTCCCGCACCGACCTGGTATGGCGGAGTTCATGCAACTTTCTCCGTGCATTGTATTCCACGTTTTATGGGAAGAACTGCAGACCTACGGCTGCCTTCAGTTCTGCCCATGTGTTGGGAGTATCTTCACCGACCCTGATGGCTTCGTATTTGACTCGCCACCAGAGTTTTGCATCGTCTTGAAGATACATGGCTGCAGTTGCTACCTTTTTGGATTCTTCCAATTGTCCTACGGCATCGAAGTATTGTTCGATGTCGAAGATGAAGTTTTCCACTTCTTTAGCATCCCGGGCTCCGTTGTATGGCTTTGGCTCCGGAATTTTCAGCTTTTGTGGCATGGGGGCAATGTTCATGGCACCCCTAATTTGGTTTTCGCCTCTTTTGAGCAGACTTTGAAGGGCAGCATTGACAACATTGAGCTGGCCTGTCAAGTTGTCTATGGTTTGCTGCATGACGGTCAGTCTGTCAGCCTCTAGTTCTCGATGGGCTAAATCCTCGGCACGCTCCTATTGGAGGTCCTCGAATTTGCCATGAATTTCGGTTGCCTCGACGGCTGTCGTTTGTCGGTCTTCCTCAGAGTCGCGACTGATGTTTGCTATGTCAACTTCGGTCTGCCGCATTCTGCGGTTCAGGTCGTCCAACCTTTGCACTAGGCTGGTTTTTAGATCTTGTAACGTATCCACGATGGGCCGTAATTCGTCAACCGTCTCTTGAAGGGTTATGATGCGATCCCCGTAATTCACCATGGTCAGAAATGGTGATGATGGTAATGAGTTCCCTCGTCCGATGTCGAGCCTAGGCTCTTATACCAACTGTTACGCGGCGCCTTCCTGAAGTTCCTTTGAAGGGCGACGCAAGGCTAAGCAACTGATATCAGTGCGGTTGCTATGCGCCAACTGAGGTCCCCTCCGTACGCTAGACTAGATTGTCAGTGCCGTACGTGAAAACCAATATCGTGAGCAATTGAGCAGCGAAAAATGAGCAATTGATGATGAAAGCTGATGATTGTATTGATGATGATGAAAGCTATTACAAGATGCTATGCGGTGTCGGGGGGGGAGAGACACCAGTACAGAGAATTATTTAAATGCTTGAATGTTTGAATGCTTTGGTCCCCTTAATAATGCTTAAAAAAAATAAACCAAAGTTACATGAGTTGACCTAAGAAAATTGTAGAAACACACTCAAAATGAATGAAGTAAAACTACTCTATAATTACAATGAAAAGGACTTAGTCTTCTACAAGGTGGAAGTAAGTCCGATGGCAGCAACTTTGTCTTGAGCATCAGGGTCTGCGCGCGCATTGTTGTTGGCGTGTGCGGCACTATTTGGATCTGCCAGCGGTTGGGCGCTGGTGCTTGGCATTGGATCTGCGCGCGGGGCATTGTCTGTGCGTTCGGCGCTGTTGGCAACATGATGGTTTGTGCGTGCGGCATTGTCGATGCGCGCGGCACTGATGGCATTCACCAGCCGCTAGGCGTTGGCACTGATTATCGGTGGGGGCGACAGAGGCGCATGCGCGCTTGTCACTTTGCGCTGCCGAGACCACTGGGCCGACCGTGGCGCTAGGCGTTGGGAGGCTTGCCAGGACGCCACGGGGCGCGTCCAAGGGGTCATGGGTCAATGATGGAAAGCAGCACATGACATTAGTAATGCAGGAATTAGTTATGCATAATTTAATTATTTGGATTTAATTATTCTATCATTTACCATGCATAAAGTTATACATAAATTGACTCATAACTTATACTTGTTTTATTTATAAGATTGTAAAAGAATAACTAAATACGGTAATACAACAACAACAACAACCCAGTGGGATCCCACAAGTGGCGTTTGGAGAGGGTAATGTGTACGCAGACCTTACCCCTACCTTGAAGGGCAGAGAGACTGTTTTCGAAAAATCCTTGGCCCGAAAGGAAGAATAGGAACAAGTAAATAACAACAAGGCTAGGAAAATGATACCACACTAAAAGCAATGAGAGTTTTATTTTATTTAGTTTCCTCTAAGAAACAAGATATGCGAATAATTTTACGGTTTCACTAATATGATGGTAACAACTTTTTTTTAATACACAAAAAAACGAAATTAGACCATGCAATAAATAATAAAACGGATTGAAGTACAATGAACAAAACGATCCAATCACGGGCACAAAGGTTCCTCCTTAATTTTGTGTTGTGGGGTACACCGCAAGCACCCGTGACCAAATTCAATTTATGCACATGTAATGCCCAAGTGTTATTTTCTCAATTTATTCATGGATGATGAAAATTATTTCACCAGAACTTGAATTATCGTTGAGATAAAACGTCTACTGCCTCTTCGTTGTATACAGCTTTGAGTTTCGACATTGCGAGATTCACTGCCTAGACAATTTTACAAAACTTCGGCTATATAAATAAAGAAACAATGTCAAAAATTATTGTCATCTATCAACTCACCTATGGCACCTAGCTTAACGGTATTAGCCTAACTATCAATGAAATGAAAACCACGAGTAGGTTCAAATCCTTTGAGGCGAAATAGAAGATTAAAACGTGAGGCCCGAGTACCTACGGGCAAAAGTTTGCAACACACACGGGGAATTGTCAAGGATCGCAAGCTGATCTAAATACCACAATTATAGTAAATTTTTGAAAAGAATACTATGTCACCTGAGGTACTAGCCCAGGAATGTCCAAATCAAACAGACATATTTCGATCAGAAAAGGAAAGACCCAAATATGGATACACCGATCCAACATTGGTAAAGAAGCCAATGTAAAGAGAAATTTATTTTCTTCCCACGCATAAGATGACAGAAGAAGAAATATAATGGAGTACCGGAAGAAACAAAAACATGACAAAAAGAAAAATTTATCTTCTTAATCCTTCTATTAAAGGGCAAATCACCTCCCTCCATCCTGATTTACTTGATTATTAGTCAAAAATATGATTTTTAACTTCTTAATTCACTCGTCAAGCTACATTACACGAATGCAAAATCAATTTGATTTTTGGGTAGAGCATAAAACAGTAAAAATAACAGTAGAATCTTTGACAGGGAAGGGAAAACATTATGAGGACGGACATAGAGGCATAATTACAAAGATGCTACACTTAGCAATTCAATTCCAGAATGCAAAATTGAAACCTGGATAACAATGTTTGCAAAAAGAAAACAAGTCAGTGGTTATACATCCAAAGGGCTGCATAAGTACGAATTACTTGATCGAATGAATTGCTGTGATCATAGATACAGTCACCACCCTCCGCTGCCACCGGACTGTGAACCCTTTTTACCGCCACCCCAGCCAGAATCATCGGACTGACCACCGGTATCCTGCCCCCAGCCACCACCACCACTACCACTAGCACCCCAACCACCTCCGTCTCCGCTACCACCTCCGGCACCACTTCCACCACCACTCCAACCACCAGAGAAAGTGTCTCTAGCAGGTGAATTTTGGACTTCTGCACCCCATCCTCCCCCACCTTCCTTAGAACCCCACTTTTGAGTGCCATAATCTGAATCTTGCCCGTCATTATCGTTATTTCCTCTACCACGTCCATATGTTCCCCGACCACGTCCACGACCACGCCCACGCCCACCACCACCATAGGGCCTGGGCGGCAATCCACTTGGATCATCCTGACTGCTTCGATTTCTGTAGTCATTTCTACCTGCAAAACCGGAAAAGTCCATTGGCAATCAGTATGCATCTTTCTGCTCTTTTATCAACCTCGATGAACAACTGTACATTACAAAGCAACAATGGATAGACTTCCAATGGAATGAAAGACATTCTAGACATAAACAGACACACAGTAGGATAAGCAGTAAACGCTCTCTCGCCCCCAAGAGAGTTTCCTTAATCTTATTTAGGGCAAATACGTCACAAATCTTAACCAGCTCAGTTGATGGACCAACATAAGTTGAGATCTTAAGGGAAAATGGAGAGCAGTTGAAACAACGCTCGCCTGCTATATAGACCACAAGACCCACCCCCCACCCCCAACCCAGACTAATTTTTAGGGGAAAACGAGAGAAGGGGCATGCTGCCCCAACTTGAAGATACGGGCCAAACAGTGCTGGAAAGAAAGTCTTTAAAAAAAAGGAATTCCTACTAGCTGCAAATATAGGCCCAACCTATTTCGAAGAAAAAGCAGGTGTCTAAAGAGGAGTCACCAATAAGGTCGGTTTAGAGCTTTCAGAATTTGATGAAGAGCAACCTTTTTATCATGAAACAAAGGGGAAGCAGAGACAGAACAGACAGAGAGAGAATAGGCAGGGACAAAAACAGAAGATTTTACCTGGTCTAGAATCTCTGTCCCCAGACTGACCACCTCTTCGACCACTATCATTGGATGAACCACCCCAACCGCCACCAAATCCTGAGCCCCCACCTGCAGGGCTGCGCATAGGTACCATCGCTGCAACTGATCGTATTGATGGTGCAGAGTCATGGGGATCATCAATATGTCTTTGAAAATATGCCACAAGGCGATCAATATCTTCAAACATCCTCTTGCGGAATTTAAATCCTTTCGGATACAGACCAACATACTCATGGTGCGGGTTGGAACTCCGTATATAAGTCAAAATGAATGTCCCAGGGTGTTCATGAGAAATACCAAAGCTATAGACAATCCTCATAGGGTACTCAGATTTCTCAATTCTCAAAAGTTCATCAACTTCTGCCTTTGTTCCCTTCCTAAACTTGCGGTAATTCAGCATTGCTTTCAAATGAGCTACTAATGGATCGACATACCGATCCATTACCTGAAATAAACACAACACAAAACCAATGAGATTCTCAGTGTTTCCAAGAAACTAAAATATAATATACCCAAGAAATGTATTGTACCAGGGGATAAATAAAGTAATCAAACAAGTGTCCTATGAAAATTTGCCAAGGACCACAAAATGTACAATAAATCTCCATGAAGTTTCTGGCTCCACTCAACCGAAAATAAACATATCAAAGAAAGCCATCCTCAACTAAATGCCAACAAGCAAAATGCTTGGGAGCAGTTAATACTTTTTTGGTAATAAAAAGGAAGTAGCAAATATTTAAGTTCTCCAACCAGCTCTAACAATAGTAAGAAAAAAGTCGAGCAAATCAGGTCCTTCACTCATCAAACTTGACCTCTCTTGCCCAATGTATTTGTCCACTATTTGAGCACAAAACCTTTGTTTTTGCACAAGGAGAATGTAAAGAAAGAGATATGGAGAAGAGGTCTCTGTGCGAGTGTGTGGGAGTGTGAGTGTGTGTGTAAGAGAGAGAGAGAGAGAGAGAGAGAGAGAGAGAGAGAGAGAGAACAAATTCTATTTCCTCTCAACCATGACATTAATGCAAGCGAACTGCATTCATACCTATGTTCTAGTTCTACTTTCAGAAAGCATCAACCATCATCATCTTAAGGATTTCCATTTATTACTAATTAATTTGTTTGTTTATTTGTTGCTTTATACAACTCTTTTCTCCAGCTGGATGACCTGTGAAGATAGCTGATCCCTCAATTCATATTGACTACGGGGAACATATGTTCCCTATTCCCTGCAATCCTCCCTCCCACAAAACCAAACGAAAACACATACCAAAAACTAGATTAGGAACAACTCTCATTATATATAAAATAACTGGAAAAATTGCCAGAGTACCTCATCTAAATCCTCAAAAGTATCCTCTCCTATTTTCAATGTTTTTCCGATACGGAGCAAGCTTGTTATGTCCTTATGTTCCTTTCCACCTTCCACAATATCCTTGTGAGCATAAACTCCATCGTACACTTTGAGAGTTAAAGTCAAATAAGATGGTCCGCGTGAGCTGGGACGTACGATACTTTCACCCGGTTCCTTGTCCGACAAGAACTGCACAAAGTATGAAGAGAGTATCAAGATAGCTTAGGCATCAAATGCTAGAATCGCCATTCTAAAAACGCTTAATTCATGCTTGTCATAAAAGAAAAGATGCTTGCGTCTTTTCATTGCAATGTCGCATCATAAGAACTATGCACCAAGTTTGTATTCAATATCTGCGAAGATAATAACATACCTCCATTGCTTCATCTGCCGTTATATTTTTGAATCGAGGATGAACTATCATCCTTGGCTTGAAATGCTTCTTTGCGAGCTCCTTTTCTTTACGAGCTTTATCCTTTTCAGCCTGTAAACTACTGCGATCTTCATGGTAGTATGGATCCAAGTTCTGATTATTCTGATACCTATTATTTCTCATATCATTCTCTTTACAGCTAAGGAAAACCTGGTACCTATTTTTTTGGATCGACTTGATTCTGCAAGTTAAGATATCACCTTCACGCATTTTTTCAGTCAAATCATTGACCTCTCTCCAATCATCTGAAGAATCTTCTTTGGTAAGAATGCCAGTCAATCCAGACTCGAGAGCACAGATAGCTTTCTGAGGTTGAACTCGGCGAACTGTTGCCTGCACAATTCTTCCCTCGGAAAGTGTCTCCTCAGACTCGCCAGAAATCATATAGAACTCCTCATCCTGGCTTGGCTCCACATACTGTCTACGCCAATCTTGAAACCCTTGCATCAGCTCTAACCTTATATCGTTAAGAGTTTCCTCTTTGTCCTGACGATCTTTGGCTTTGGCGTAGTTTGGAACTTCAAGCAACCTCGCCAGATGTGGCTTCTCTCTAACATGCTCTATTGCCATTTCAAGCAGTTCATCATCATCATTATTTTCTTCACCGATATCATTAAGATAAATATCTTTGGCCAACTCCTGTGCAAGACCATAGGATTCTGGGTGGATCCTTGTATCATCCAACAAGTCAATATATGTATTACTGTTAGCAGTGTATCCACTACGCCTTACTCGCAAGAAGCCAACTGCATTCACAAATACCTTTTTACCAAGATGATGTTCAGTCAAGAGATCCTTCCTAGTGAAGATTGTCTGCTGTCTTACCAAGGATCTTTGAAGAGATGCTGCCTTTCTGGGACCTAGCCCCGAAATAAATTGCAGAGGGGCAAACAACCATTCATGACTTATAGCCAAATTAAGATCAACACCCACCTGGTTAGTTACATCAACCATAACCTGTTCAACCATCCCATACTTCTCATCTGATGTAAGAAAACTATCTAAAGTACTCAGCTTCCAAGATAAAATCTCCTTGCCTGGTCCACACAATGTCGCTATCATTGCTAAAGGATTTTGAAGATAACGTCCCAGTGCCACAGCGCGCCTCACAATACCTAAAACCCTGGAGTGGATAAGTGCTGCTAAATCCTAATAGCTGTATAAAAGTTCACAAGGAAAGTAATTACCTGACTGCCCAGGGAGCTGGTCAACTGAAATGCGGGAATTCTCATAGAGATGTGGAAGGGTTTCGTCTCCATATATTATGTTCAAATTATCCATCTCATGACCAACATCTCTTGGATTATCCTCCACCATTTTGAAAATTATCTGAACCACAAAAACAGTCAAGAAATACTTTAGCCACCTCAATAAAGAAATTATGCTGATTAAGAAACTGTTTATAATATGGCATAATTAGGCACTACATATCCTACCAGAATACCGCCAAGTTTATCCCCTAATCACACAGTTGCAATCAAATAAAATTCAAGGATGCACACCTCATAAATATCCTCCTTCAGCCGCGTACAAGATAGATTTACAGCTCCCAGCACCACAACATGTGGTTGGTGGTCCATCATGAATTTTAACAGTCTCTGCTGGTCATTCTTCTTCCGCTGCTCATCATTAACATTCTGTCCACGAAGGCTGAGAGACCCAGCATACAGGATATCCAAAACCTCTCCCGACGAATCCAACATCACAAAAGTAGTTGCTGGCTTTCCAGGGCCCCAACAGCAAGCCATAACCCTGGGCATAGGCTCTTCATCAGAGCCGACATCACTTTCTCTGCGTTGATATGGTCCCACAGACACTTTATTCCACAAAAACTTTCCATATTCCGAAAGCAGCCAGCTCTTTGCTCTACTCGTCAGCAACGATCTAGCTTCCTTCTCCATCGAAGGCAGAAGAAAATTGAAAAATGCATCCTCAAGTATTAACTTT